GCGTGTGTGTGTGTGCATGTGTGTGTGTGCGTGTGTGTGTATGTGTGTGTTTGACTGTGTGTGTGTGTGTGCGTGTGTTTGTGTGCGTGTGTGTGTGTGTGTATGTACATGTATATATGTATAAATATATCTATATATAGTGTTTGTATGTTGATATGCATACGTATTTACGCTTGCATATGTATACATATATACCAATTGCATAAATACAAGTTATGCTTGCGGAGCGCTACCTTCAATTTCACTCGGACTGTATACATATCTGTAAATATCAAGTGAAGTTACCTTTGATCTGCCCGTCCCCACATCGACCGTAATCCCTGACTGAAACGAATTGTCCTCTAGTATAGGTTGCAGTGGGTCATCAATGCTCATCACTAAGTTGCTGTCTGCCAAGTTTAAGTACTTGGACAGTTTAAGTTTATTTTCTTGCAGCATTTTTGCCCTTAGTACACTCTCTCCGCAACTTGTGTAGAAGATTTGAGCTGGTGGTAAACTCACACTATCTCCAATCGGTTTCCTATCTTCACCTGAAATTCCCATAAGTGTACTACATTCATCCTTGATATTCTCTATTGTGAGATGTGGGGGGGCGCCTTTCTGTGTGTGCATTAAGCATGTGGGTGTAGTTATTGTATCATTTTTAAAATTCTGTGTAGCACCATTTGACTTGATGTAAGAACAGCTATTAAGGTTTGTCAGCGTCCACACGCCTGCTCGAGCCTTCCCACATGTTTTCTGTATGTGTATGGACATATTCTATGTATTTATGTATAATTCGGTGTACGAGTACAAACATATGTGTATTTACACACATATATATATATGACAGTACATATCTATATATTTAAATATATGTTTAAAAAAAAATACATACATATTTACTGTATTTACACACACACGTAAGTAAATATGTATTGATACCTTATAAAGGTTCTTTTTTCCTTTTTTTTTCATCTTTTTTTTTTCAAAGATTTTTGTTACACAGTTGACACTGACTGTACACAGTGTACAGTTTAGTTTATTTTATATACAGCATGTATTGCAATACACCGTTTCTTTCTATAAAACTACCTGGTAACTATGTTGAGTTACACGTGGTGACGTCCCAGGTGACATGATGGGTCCGATAGGAATTGCTTTTTTATTTTATTGTATTGTATCTATAGAGTGTTAAAAAAATAGTAGCCCCTAATATACATGTAAAAATATAGATATATACACATATATATAGATATATAGATATATATAGATAGATAGATATATATATGTATGTATATATCTGTATATATATATCACTACATATATTTGTCACAACAAACACATATATATATAATGTCATCCATTTCCAACATAGAGGGGGCAAAGTCTCTGTTCCTGCGTAATCTCGACAGGTTACAAGGGTCTGAGCTTACAGAGTTCATCACATGGGTTAAAGAAGTGATTGATGAAACGCAGAATGGGGCAGACGGTGATACGTGTTGCACAAACGACAGTACGCATTGTTGCACAAATGAGAGTACGCGCGACGACGAGGATAATCTTGGGACACTCAATACGTAAGCACTTTATATACATATATATATATATGTGTGTGTGTGTGTGTGTGTGTGTGTGTGTTTTTTTGTATGTATATAAAAATATATATATATATGTGTGTGTGTGTGTGTTTTTGTATGTATATAAAAATATATATATATGTGTGTGTGCGTGTGTGCGTGTGTGTAGTATACGTAGCATAGTATCTGTATATCTATACATAGATCATTTATGTTTATATCTATGTACCCGTATGTGTATGAATGAACATTTATGTGTATACTTTGATATAGATGTGTCTGTGTATGTGTGTGTCTGTGTCTATCTGTGTATGTGTCTCTGTGTCTGTGTGTGTATGTATGTGTGTATATATGTATATATATACATATATATATATATATCTATCTATATATATATATATATATATGTATATATATATATATATGTATGTATATATATATATATATATTATGTATATATAGTATATATA